CGCTGCTTTAATTCTGTCTTTAGGACGTTGTTGTGAGTTTGGACGGAGCAGCTACAACGTTAGTTTAGCCTGATGGATCCGATCTCCATTCAGAAGAGAAATGTGCTCATGGCAACGGTGGCGGCATTGCTGTTCTGCACAAAAAATCTATTATTCTCCAACCACTGATTATTCCCCATACTCAGTCCATTGAGTGCCTTGCTTTTAAATTTTTTCCACCCAAATCACTGACAGTTGTACTAGTCTACCGTCCTCCAAAATCCAACTCATCCTTCATCCCAGAATTCTTCAACTTCATCACTTCAGTACGTCCCACTCTCTCCAACATTGTGATACTCGGCGATTTTAATATACCCTTGGACTCCCCTAAATGCTCCATGGCTGCCGACTTCGTGTCCTACCTCGACTCACTAAATCTGACACAACATGTACATGGGTCCATCCACAATCACACACTTGACCTCATCATCACCGGAAACATACCTGCATCAGACCTAAACATCTCTGATCTTGGAGTGTCTGACCATAAGGCTATCTCCCTAATGCTGACAATCCCATCCTCCAACCAGCCACCCCCCACTGAGAGAGTCATGAAGTACCGAAACCCCCATAATCTGGACACTCCACTTTTTCTCAATTCCATAATACCAAACCTTTCAACTGATCTCCGTTCGTTTTCCCCCGACAACATGATTGAGCTCTACAATGACACCATGACCACCACGCTCAACATCCTGGCCCCGGAAAAAAGGAGGAAAGCCACTTTCCAACGGTCCTCCCCCTGGTTCACGGACGACCTCCGCCGCATGAAAACATGCGGTCGACAGCTGGAGAGACTGGAGGAAGCAGGCTCTCGCCGTCCACCTACTGACCTTTAGAGAACATCAAAGTGCCTATGCTACTGCCAGGGTTGGGAGGGTTACTTTGTAAATGTAATGAGTTACTGATTACTGAATACATGGCTCTGAAAGTAATCCGAATACAGTTACAGTTACGTGTCTTAAAAAAGTAACGTTTTCAGATTACTTTTAGATTACTTGTGGATTACTTTCTTTTTCTGTTTTAATGGCTTATCAAGAGCACAACTGAAACATAACATCTGAAACGATGTAACAACATAATAAACTTTTTGGGGATGCAGCTTGGGATGTGAAGAGTGAGGGACACGGCTTAGAACGGGCGTGTCACCTTCTGTCCTGCCAGAAGTCCTCAGCGTTAGCAAGGTTGGCGAGGCTGAGGCTGAGTTAACCCTCCCGCTGCCTCCTGGTGCTACAGAGATTTCATGAAGTGAAGGAGGTTTTCCTGTGGTGTCGATATCGCGCCACGATTTAAACGCAGACTTTTGTTCCTCCATGTTTCGTTGTTATTGTTTCACTGAGCGGACCCGCAAATATTTTTTCAAACGCTCCCTTTTTTGGTCCATCTGCGGCGGTAATAGGTTTTGTGCACTGTGATGATTCGACTGTACCTTTAGTAATGAATATTAAATGTTGTGAGGAAAGCTTTCCACCAATAATACCAATAAGTAATCCAAAATGTATTCACTTCAGGTTTACTAAAGTAACTGTAATCAGATTACTCGTTTTTCAAATGTAACGCGAGCTGAATACAGTTACTTGATTTTTGTATTCTGATTACGTAACGCCGTTACATGTATTCCGTTACAACCCAACCCTGGCTACTGCTCTAAAAAACGCCCGCTCTTCCTACTACTCGTCAATAATAGACAATGGCAAAAGCAATCCCAGAACCTTATTCTCCACCATCAACCGCCTTCTCAACCCCACCAACACAGGCCCCCCAGCTGCCTCTCCAGAACTTTGCATTGATGCAAAACAAGTGACATTTGACCTTTTTAGAGAGGTTTAGCAAATCAAAAACCACTTCTGGGGTCATTTGGGTGGATTTGCTCTTTGGGTGGATATCTCTGGCCCCCCTCTGTCGATTTTGATGATTGACACCTCTTTTGAACCGTTAGAGCCAATAGAATCGAGGGGAAGTTCCTAAAAGAGGAAGAGGAACTTATTGGAAGACCCCCGCCGGCGGGGGCTATGGGGTAAGACCCTCTTCCAATAAGACCCCTCTTCCAATAAACTGTTATCATGGTACACCTGGAGTACTGCCATTTTTATCGCTATCTCTGACTTTTAATTTTTTTATTGATTTTTATTTTTATTGATTTTTTTTTTTTCACTTTTTATCTCTTAAATGTTATCAGTGTATTTTGTTGTGAAGCGCTTCGGGATTTGTCTTGGCAGATGAGAAGTGCTATATAAATTGAATTTATTATTATTATTATTATTTAACAGCGGAGTGAAGATAACACATTAAACTCACGGGAGTCACTCCTCAGTTTATACAGTGTTGTTTCAATTAATGTATCATCTAGTTAAAAATATGTGATATATCTGAACAACAAAGTGGACCAAAATCATTTTATTAATTTATTGGAAACAATTTTCATGATCTCCAATTCATTTTTATTATGAACACAATACAATTAAAAGAGAAAGAGATGTAATGTCTGTCAGCAGGAACAGCTTTATTTGTTTTACATTTTTATTTATTGTCTTTTCCATTCAGTCACAGCTGAGACATGAATTACGTGATTTAATAATAATAATAATAATAATGGGTTCCATTTATAAAGCACTTCATATTTGATTTCAAATCCCGAAGTGCTACAAGCAGTGAGCATTTGTCTCAGCCAACACAAGTGTTGTGCCGTTACTTCATGTTATTTTTATGCCTACAACAATACCGTGACGGTTGATAATGTTCACATTTATTTAACCCACAATATTTCTGTTATGCTTTCTCTTCTCTCAATAATTTTCTTTCTATTGTGCACTCAAATACATATTAAATAGGGCTGTCAAGTTAAAATTAACGCCACTAATTATTTTAACGCGATTAACGCATGTGTATTTTTTGTCCTCGGCCGCCCCGTAGTTTCAGAGCGCATCGAGTTTAAAATACCATCTACAAGCTGATGTTGACAGCCCCGCTCCTGCCGCCCGCTTGTGGCAGACCACACTTCCACGCTCACCGGCAGGCCCGGACTGGCCATCGGGAGGACCGGGAGGGTGTGTGTATGTGTGGCGCGACTCGAGCGAGGCACACCTTACGTGTTGTTGTTGTTGTTGTTAGCATCTGGTGCTAGCTAGCTGCGCTAACGGATATAAGGAGCTGTTTCAATGACATTTCGCCGACAACTGCGCCGAGCACTTGACTTTATGCAGGTAGCCAGACAGTGGGACACTTCCTGATGGGAAGTCAGCACACTCAGCACGGATAGTGCGCGCAACATGACTGCAGCGTCCAGGCAGCTCCCGTTCGAGCATAGATGCCTTGAGCTGCACATAGCTCCAACGATCCATCACAGTGTCTCCACATTCATTCATTCACACACACACACACACACACACACACACACACACACACACACACACACACACACACACACACACACACACACACACACACACACACACACACACACACACACACACACACACACACACACACACACACACTGTATTATTGTATGAGAGAGGTTCCAGGTTGAATTGAGGCGAATATTTGTAATGTTCAGAGGTTGTTGTGTTTAATATTCATGAGAATATTTGTCATTGTTCAAATGATAATAAACAAACATATACAGCATATTTGTCCACTCATATGTTGATAAGAGTATTAAAAACTTGAAAAATATCCCTCTAAGGTACATTTAGAACAGATAAAAAATGTGCGATTAATTTGCGATTAATCGCGATTAACTATGGACAATCATGCGATTAATCGCGATTAAATATTTTAATCGACTGACAGCCCTAATATGGCCTGTCCGGGCCTGCCAGTGAGCGTGGAAGTGTGGTCTGCCACAAGCCGGCGGCAGGAGCGGGGCTGTCAGCATCAGCTTGTAGATGGTATTTTACACTCGATGCGCTCTCAAACTACGGCGGCCGAGGACAAAAAATACACATGCGTTAATCGCGTTAAAATAATTAGTGGCGTTAATTTTTTTTTGCGTTAACGCGTTATTAACGCGTTAACTTGACAGCCCTAATATATATATATATACAAGATTTAATCATACAGCCCATGTAGTATAATATTTTACAAATGATGAATTACAGCAAACATGTGCAATATATCCATTATTACAGCTCCGTGGGCTGGCAGTAAGGCGATATGGGTCCGTTCTTATTGTGCATCCATGGGTAAAGATAAACGCATGTAGTGCTGAACACGTAACATGAACGTGCCGGGCGGCGCGGTCCCGTGGGTTAGATGCGCGTTCATAATGCAGAGGGAAATAACTCTCAGAATAACGTTATTAGCACATTTTACAACTTGAGGAACGAATGTTTTTAATAAGGGCTATACAAGTGTTCATACTGGGTAGTTTATTTAGTTTAAAAAAAATTATCCAACGATTTACAGACCACTCTTTCCCCATGTAAGTCAATGGGAAAAAGTGTTTCCGGGCCTGGCAACCAAAAGGAAGTGTAGTACCGCCGTTTGGCCAGCACGAATATTTTCATCAGAGTCCGGCGCACTTCCTGGGGGCTTGAGCTCAGCGCGATTCACAACGTCCCGACCAATCAGAGCACACTGGGCTCACAGGGAGGGTGGGGGCTGGAGCCAACAACAAGCCGTTTAGTGGAGAGAGTGAATACTGCTGAATACACACACTTTACAGAGATGCTGTATGCGAAACCAATGTGAGTTTGGACAGTATAAATCTATTTTAGTATACCTCAACAATGGAATTATGATCAGTGGAAATGGCCATGACACCTCTCCTTTTAAGTTTAGAGTTAGAGCCTAAATTATGTTGTTTTTTAAAACTATCTCTGTAACACAGTATTAGAAGACGGAAGAAGAAATGGAACAGTATCTTTTACTTTGAAAAACTGATGGCACGAGTTGATCTTATTGTATTAGTTTGTTTGAGGCTAAGCGGGCCGATGTCGGGGGAGGCAGAGGGTGGAGGCAGTGAGGTGGAAGAAGATTGCAACACAGCAGAGAGTTGACGGGGGGGGAGGAATGAAGCAGAAACACAGCAGCGGAAACTCTCCTGTCACTCAGTTCAGCGGAAGTGGAGCTCGAGTAAAGTCGGTGCGCAACAGGTGTTTTGAGTGACTCCTCTTTGTAAGCTCAGAAGTTTTAGTATAGTAAAACAAAAGTTTTAATTTGGTAGAAAAGTACCAACATGTCAAAGCTCCGCCCCAGACAGTGTGTGCTGGAGAAAGGGTCCAGTGGCTACGGGTTCCACCTGCACGGAGAGAAGGGCAAGACCGGACAGTTTATCCGGCTCGTGGAGCCAGACACTCCCGCCTCCGCAGCCGGGCTTCTCGCGGGCGACCTTCTGGCCTTCGTGAACGGAGAGAGCGTGGAGGGCGAGAGCCACCAGCAGGTTGTCGCGAGGATCCGGGCCACCGCCGAGGCTCTGGAGCTTATCGTGGTGGACTCCGAAACGGCCGAGCTGTTGAAGAAACAAAACCTCCAGTGCCGGAAAGAGTTCGTCACCGAGGGGATTCCCCTGTCTGGCGGGGACAGCGACTCTGAGCACGGGGACACACAGAGCAACGGCACCCCGAGGGAATGCACCCCTGCCCCGCCGGAGAATGGGGATGCTGCCTCGGAGAGGTCGGAGAGGCTGAGTGTCAGCTCCAGCACTAAGGTACCTTACTTAGTCTGGACTAAACTTATTATGTACATAATTCATAATTATACTGTGTATATTACATTATGGAACAGCAACGGGAGACACAAGCCTTGTCTCTACTTTAGGCTCTGATGAGTCACACTAACAAGGTAGACCCTTCGGTCAGAAGGTCAGCCCCTAACCTCCCGACCTGTGAATAAGCGATCCTTGTGAATACATCTTCTATCATGTCATTTTATATAAGGACACTATAATAATGAAGTCAAAAAAAGTTAGAAACTTGACCATGGACATGTATTCTTGGCCTTTTGAATCAGTTTGTGTTACAAAACATTCTTGACTGTTTTAAAAGTCTTCATTTTTATCAACTGTAAGTTTCGTTGCAAACTATCCAGGCTAAGTTTTTCATTCATTGCATAACTAGACAGTAGTTGTGCATATGACATGACAGGGGTGCTGCATATGCTGCATTCTTTTAATAATCTTAAAGGGGACCTATCATGCAAAATGCACTTTTTGATGTATTTTATACATAAATATGTGTCCCCGGTGTGTCAGGGAACTCACACAGCGTCAGAAAATAAAACCCTCTCTCTTTTCCTCCGAACCCAAATCTAAAAAAACGGAGGTACAACGGAGCTGATCCAGATTTGCGTCCGATATGACGTAATATCGGCAATGCAGACCCACGGCACTATCAAAAAGTTGCTATCAGAAACAATGCCCGACTGTTTTGGACGTAATATATGGAACATGATGGCATTTAAAGAGCAACTGGCAGGTTAGAGACCCCAGTGAATAAATGTGTAGGAAAATTATGTATACACTAGATTTTCAAAAAAATATACAGAAATATACACTACAGTGACATCTGGCGTCGTTTTTGTAAGACATTTTTACTTCCGCATAAATAAAGACCACACGCGTGTGACGTCACATCAGGGAGAGCGGCCGGTCTAACGTATGAATAAACATGGTTCACAATGCTAGTTTTGACACAGAAGAGGTTGAAAATGTATATTCGTATGCATATGACAGACCACAACCTTATAATTATGAGCCTGCTAGGCGTCCAAGAGACCAGGAGCAGCCAAGGATTAGAAGAAATAACGGCCATCGGAGAGAAATGGAGCTGTGGTGTGAGGAGAATCAGTGGAGAACAGGGCAGCTGTCTTGGTGAGTCGAATCAATTTTAGCCCTCTAACAGGGCTAAAACAGAGGGATATGAGGGATGTCTAAAATGCATGAACTTATCGGTATTTTGAGCAAAACGCATCATATACATGTTTTTTATGTATTTGTATATATCTGAGACCCATAATATATGCCTAAAAATAGCATACTAGGAGAACTTTAAACTATATTTCTTGGGTAAAATTGCAGACTACCTGGTCTCCAACTATCTCTCTGCCATAAATACTTGTTGATCATTGATTTCATTCATATACCAGCCCTAATAACCCAGTGTTATTAATATGGCTGTCTTTTATCTTCTTAACTGATCTGAGGCTGGCCCTGCCTCTGAGCTGCAAAGGTTATGTGAAAATAGATCTCCTATTAAGTAGCTACTTCCTGTGCCAGTGGAAGGCTACTGGCTGAGGCAGAACGGTGACACAGCTCAGTGAAATGTTCCTGTTCAACACTGTCCCCGTCATCAAACCGCCTGTCAGTCTCTGCTTCCCGTCTTTCCCCGTCAGGTTTGTCTTGTCGGACAAGATGCCCTTTATATTAGCTGATAGAATAGGGCTCTTCTTGCACAGGCAGAGCATCTATACTTCAGGGACGGATGACGGAAGTGTTTGTTTATTTGGAGCTAACAGGATAAATACATACTGTTACAAAACATCAAAGGTCCTTGAGGGAACTTGGCGTCAGACCTGCATTGATGTCCTCATACTTGAATATCTATTTTGTTGTAGCTGGACTTAATAGTTATTGTCCTTGTAAATTATTTTATCATCTTTCTATGTCTCCCAACAGGAGGCTAGATCAACCATTCAGAGTGTCTCTGGTTGGATGGTTATATACAGTGTATATATGTATATATGTATATATATATATATATATATATATATATATATATATATATATATATATATATATGTATATATGTATATATGTATATATATATATATGTGTATATATGTATATATGTATTATATATATATATATGTATATATGTATATATGTATATATGTATATATATATGTATATATGTATATATGTCTGTATATCGTGTGTTATATTGTATATGTATATATATATATTATGTATATATGTACTTATATATGTATGTTATGTATATATATATCTATATATGTTATAGTGTTGATATATTTATTGTATATAGGTATATATATATCTGTATATTGTATATATGTATATATGTTATATATATGTATATATGTATATATATTATATATATTTATTATATTTATGTGTATATATATCTACATATGTATTTTATTATATGTATATGTATATATATATGTTATATCTTTATCTGTCTTATATGTATATCTATATGTTATCTACTATGTATATATGTATATATATCCTATATTATGTATATAGTCTATATATATATATATATATTATGTATTTGTCTATATATATTATTTTCTAGTTTTATATGTATATATCTATATGTTATCTGTATATTATTATTATATATCTGTGTATATATATATGTATTCTGTATCTATATATGTTATATATCTGTCTGTTATCTGTTGTTATATATATCGTTATATGATTATATATATGTTTATTCTGTCTTATATATCTATATGTATATATATCTCTGTTATCTGTGTGTGTATATTATTATATATTATATCTTCTATATCTCTATTATATCTGTCTATATGTCTTATGTATCTCTATTATCTCTGTATATATGTTCTCTCTATCTATCTGTCTATTGTATCTATCTCTATCATATGTATATATGTATATATGTCCCTCTGTGAGAGCGAGTAGAAAACAACAAAAAGTTGGTCTCAAAAAGCTTCAAGCGCTGCACACCTCCAGTTGCATTCCTCCCTGATGGGACACATAGCAGAGTGTGAAAGCTCTGACAGCAACCTGTCGGGGGGGGGCGGCTAACTGCTTCAAACAATAGTTATTTTAGCCTGATTGTGTCTGGTTTGTCCAGGACTTAGTCGTCAAACTGTTTCACACTTTATCCTGGCCTCCACCCCACTGAGCGGGGGCCTTCTGTTGGTCTCCATAGAGACCTCCAGCAGCAGAAAGAGGCTTTGTCCACAGTGTTTGCATGGGGAGAAAAGCCTGTGGGCCTGGGAGGAAAGGAGAAGGGACTCTCACCTCAACAAGGAGGCCATGCTGACCCTGAAATACCTACTGCCTCACTGAACACTGCCAGGAGGGCTGCAATACAGTGAGGGGATTAAACAGCAGTTTGTTCAGGCTTTGTATATGTGAACATAGACAAAAAGATTACATTTTAGTATAATTTTTTTATTTTTTTTTATTTAGCCTTTATTTATACAGGTGTAAAATCTCATTGAGACACAAGGTCTCATTTCCAAGAGAGACCTGTCAGTGGTAACACTACCACACAAAGTTACAGACAGACAGGACACTAAACACAGAGGCAACAATAAAATACAACATCGTAAAAAAAGTAGCCATTGAAATCCATATAAAGTATTCAGATATAGCAGGTGCAAACACCCACAGATGATTTCTCCAGCTTTTTTAAAATTAGTTTAAAATCCGTGATGGGTATCAAACTGGTCAGCTTAAGTTCCTGCTGAAGTGTGTTCCAGGTCGAGGGGGCAGAGTATGATATGGCTTTTTTTCCAAGCACCGTGCGAACTGAGGGGACGGACAGAGTGATGTAATGTTGAGATCGTAGGCTATAGCTGTACTGTTTGTGTGATATGTAAGTGGATATGTAGAGGGGCAGCAGTCCAAGCATAGCGGTATAGATGAATTTGTACCAGTGCAGTGATCTGCGCATTGATAATGATGTCCAGTTGACTAAAGAGTACAGCGTGCAATGGTGTGTGAGGGGTTTACAGTTGGTTATGAACCTCAGAGCCCTATGGTAGACAGCATCCAGCAGATGAAGTGAGTGAGCTGAGGCGTTCATATACACAACATCCCCGTAGTCCAAGAGCGGCAAAAATGTGGCAGCTACAAGCCGTTTCCTCGCACTTGTGGAGAAGCAGGCCTTATTTCTAAAAAAGAATCCCAGTTTTAATTTCAATTTCCTTAAGAGATTGTCAATATGTGGTTTGAAACAGAGATTTTCATCTATAGTGATGCCTAAGTATCTGTAGGTGTTAACAGCTTCAATGGGGTTATGCTGTGCAGACATGATGCAGGGAAGAACAGTTGGTAACCTTTTCTTATTGGAAAACAACATGACTTTTGTCTTATCTGAGTTTAACACCAACCTAAGGTGGAACAGATGTGACTGAAAAGTGTCAAAAGCAGACTGCAGACGTTCAAATGCAAGGGCAACAGTGCTAGCACAACAGTACACAACAGTATCATCTGCATATAGATGTACAGAGGCATCAATGCTTTTACCCACATCATTTATATAAATAGTAAAAAGGGTCGGTCCCAAGACCGAACCTTGAGGAACACCTCTGGGCACATTAAGAAAGCTTGAGGAGAGACCGCTGAATTTTACACATTGCTTGCGATTCGAAAGATAGTTTGCAAACCAACCAACGGCTTGGTCAGACAGGCCTATATGAGATAACTTCTGGCATAGAATGCCATGGTCCACAGTATCAAATGCCTTGGATAAGTCTATAAAAAGGGCAGCACAGTAGCTCTTTGCGTCCAAGCTTTCGACAATGTCATTCACTACTTTCAAAGCAGCCGTTATTGTACTGTGCTGCTTCCTAAAGCCTGACTGGTGAGGAGATAGAATGTTGTTCAAGCTTAAATATTCTTTGATTTGATCATTCACCAGCCTTTCAAGTACTTTAGCTAAAATAGAGAGCTTGGAAATTGGTCTGTAATTATTCATCACC